ATTGGCACAGGACAGAGCGGAGTTTAGGGCTGTTGTACATAGGGTCGCTATGAGTCGCAGGCGACTCGACGGCACATAACAACAACAACAACAACAATTTATGTGCTATAGCATCTTTTGTTTATACCTGAAACACCATTGCGTTTTGAGACATGGTTGGTTGATGTAAAGAATACTGGTAATACTTGAAAGCTAAAGAGACAGACTCTTTTATATATTTCTGTATTGTGAAATTAATATAATGATGGGTGAGTAGACTGAGAATTTGCTCCATTGGTTAAGAGACTGATGTGGGCAATTAAAAAAAAATCAGGATTGATAACCTCTGATAGAAATGTAGAAAAACTAGGTGTTAAAAATAAGAAAATTTTTTTTGTTTTTGGAGATTGAAAATTTTGCTTTCATACTGTACTTAATCTCATATCTCAAGTGTTATTGTCAGTTTACTTATTATTCATCTATTCAATCAAAGCTAATAATGTAACCTAGTTATATTATTTTAACAGTCAAACTTGTATTATTCTTTCTTTACTAAAGTGAAAATAGAGTTATGTTTTGCTGATTACAGAAATTAATAATACCTGCTAAACAGTATAGGATAATGTGAAGAACATGAAATTTGCTGAAAATCTCACCATCCAGAGACAATATCACCACAATGAAGGTTTTGATATGCATCCTCAGACCTCTCTAGTACTTTGTTTGGCTTTCAGTAACATTTTTGGTTCTTGGATTTTTCGGTTTGGGCTAGACTAATCTGGCTGTTTGCAGATTTGTACTGCAATGTTTGTTTTTTCTACAGGGAAAGAGCTTTGGCATTTATTCTCAGCTGTGAGTTTATTTTGGTTATTATGTAATTTGTAATTACTGGTTAATTCATAAACTCTTGGGTTTTTTTCACCTCTAGGATTCTCTATAAAGGTGTTTTAAAAAGGCTTATTTCTTTATATGAACCATTGTTTGGATTGCTACAAGAGGTCACCAGGATTCAACCAATGCCTTACTTTAAGGATTTTACCTTCCCAGCTGACATTGCTGAATTTCTAGGACAGCCTTACCTTGAGATCTTGAAGGAAAAAATGCCTAAACCTTTTTCAGGTAAAGGAATAAATAAATTGCTAAATAAAATGTTTTTAATAAAAGATCAGTCACCAACAACATCCAATGAAGAAGCCTCACTGAGAATTACTAAAAAAATTAAACAAATGAAGTCCAGTATCGAAAACAACATGGATCTTGGACAGCCAGTAAAGAAAAAGAGAATCTTCAAAGGTAATTTGACTTGATAAAACATGCACCTTTATAAAAGCTATTTGAATAGTAATATAGCCATGAATGGAGAAAAATTTATCATCTCCCTTCTAAATGCACGTTAATTATCTTTAGAAAGATATGATGGTATCTATTTTCTAAGTTTGAATGGAGCTCTGGTAGCTTAGTGGTAAGAAGTTGTGCTGGTAACTTGATAGCACACAGTTCAAATCCACCAGTTGTTCCACAGGAGAAAGGGAATTTCCATCTGTACAATTTAATGGCCTCAGAAAACCTGCTGGCGGGGCAGGGGGTCACCTTGGAGTCAGTTCCGACTACATAGCACATAACATAAAACAAATTTGGATTATTTGAAGTATCTATTTGTTTCTGTTGTTGCTTCATAGTTCTTTATTTCTTTTATAGAAATGTGACAAAAAATGTTCTCATGCACTTAAAGGGTTTCTTACAGATTTGAAAATATGCTGAAGTTTTTGTGTTTGGCATCTTTTCCATTTACAGAAAAGTCATCAGGATTTGACATCAGGGCTTTCTGCAAGCAGCTGAAACACAAAGCTACTCAGGTTTGTCTACCTTATTTTAATTTACTTACTAATGTTTAGCATGAAGAGATTGAATCTTCTCTTTTTATCCCTAGCTCTAATCTCACTGTCTTCTTATTCTTCAATGTATGTTTTTCCCTGAATAGATGCATTCTCATGGGATTTTCATGGAAGCAGTAAATCTAGTTAAAAGAATGCCTTCAGAAACATCTTAGTAAATATGTGATTTTTTTTTCCTGGAGTTTTTATTAGAGTGACCTTAGAAGGCTCCATCGTAAGTGTGGCTTGCTCTGCAGTTGAAAGAGTATGGGCTTTGCAGGCAGGTAGAGACGTAGAGCCCTGACTGGATTGTACCAGTTGTGTGATGTTAGGCAGATTTCCTGACTCCTCCATGTCCGTTGCCTAGTAACAGTATGTACTTGATAGAATTGTGCCAGTTTCTACGTATATAAAGTGTTCAGCCGAGTCTGGAGTTGTAGTAACACTTAATTGGTATTAAATATTGTCACTATCATCTTGTCATGAGATTTCTGTTCCTTTCATTCTTTTGAGGTTCAAGCGTTAACATGATTTGCTAGTAAATGTCTGTAAATTCTGTGTGTTTTTGATCTAACAACAGAGGAGCAGGCCAGTATCTCCCTCCCACCAAACAACTGCCTGACTTCTGTTACCTTCTCTCTTCTCTAAGTCTTTTTATTCTGGTGTCTTTACTGGTCATTTCCCTCCCCACTCCCCCATTTTATTTAAGAACTATCATTTTTAGTGAGACCTTCCTTCAACTTTTAGGACTTCTAGCTCTGTTGTAAATATAGGAAAACTAGAAATCATAAAAAATTCTGTTGAACTCATGAATAATAATAGCTAATGCTTATGTATTTACTCTGTGCCAGACATTGTTCTGAACACTTTATGTGACTCACTGAATATAATTCTCATAAAAATCCTGTGAGATAGGTATTATTATTATTGCTTTCATATTTCATATGGGGAAATTGAATTATAGAAAGGTCAAGAAACAGGCTGCAGAACTTGTATTTGAATGCACACAGTCTAGTTTCACAGTCTCTGTTTTATACCATTACCCTATTCTCAAGAATAGTTTATCATCTATTTTCTTAAGGAGAACCATGGCTCTTTGAAACTTCTGCAGCCCGTCTGCCTCATCCTCCTTGAGCTGGTTGGTCAGAACATGAGTAATTATGACTGTTGTTGTTGTTGTTATGTGCCATGGAGTCCCCTGCAACTCATTACGACCCTATGTACAACAGCCCTAAACCCTGCTCTGGCCTGGACCAGTTTCACTGTCTCCAACAACCCCACCCCAATTACCCCAGGCACTGAATCAATCCACCTCATAGAGGGCCTTCCCCTCCTGCGCTGTCCCTCCACCCTCCCAAGCATGGTGTCCTTACAACATGTCCAGAGTATGTCAGATGAAGCCTCAGGATCCTTGCCTCCAAGGAGCAGCACAGTTTAACCCTCTCAAGGATGAACCTGTTTGTTTTCTTAGCAGTCATGGTACATTCAGTACTCTTCTCCAACACCAGCTCAAAGGCATCAATTCACCTTCTATCCTCCCTAGTCATTGTCCAACTCACTGACACATAACAAGTGATTGCAAAGACCATGGCATGTATCAGGCATACCTTAGTCTCCAGAGTGACACCATTGCTCTTCAGCAATTTGGAGAGGTCCCTAACAGCAGACTTTCCTATTGCAATATGTCTTTTAATTTCCTGGCTGCTGGTGCCAAGAGTGTTGACTGTGGAGCCAAGCAAACTAAAGCTATTAACAGTCTCAATCTCTTCACCATCCATCCTGATGCTGCCATTTGGCCCTGTGGTGAGAATCTTTGTCTTCTTGATATTGAGCTTCAATCCATATTGAAGGCTGTATTTTTAATAATTAACACTAATAATGGTCACCTTTTAGGCCAAACTTCTCTTACCCATCACACAACAAAAACATGCTAGGTCTCTCCTTTTATGCATCCTACTTTTTTTTAAGTGAGACATTTATAAGAGTGTAAGCTACAAATAAAGGGCAGAAACACCCCTAAGAAATGGCATATTTTCAAAAGGAAATAGTAGAGGTTGGTAAAATTTAAAAGTGATGATATAAAAAACAGCACAAGGTTGAAAAGATAAAGGTGCAACTCAAGATGAGTTACGTCCCTTGGACAGTTCCTGATTATCATATGCAGCATGCAGTCAGCAATCTTGTAAGGCCTTATACCATTCTATGTCCTAGAATATGTTTAGTGACATCTGTTTCCTGTTGCTGAGGAGGGTTGTTAGGGTATAGGTGTGAATGCAAACAAGCTGTCGTTCCTAGTGATTTAGAGGAGAAAGCCCTGTGGATGAGTCTTCTCCTGCCTCTCTTCCTACCTCCCAGCAGGGTTTGTCCAGTATTAATCATCTGAAGTTTTTTTTTGGTACACATGTTGAATAGATTGTTGTTTTTAGGTGCCATCAAATTGAGTACGACCCATAATGACCCTGTGAACAAAAGCTCTGAACCCTGTTCTATCCTGAGCTATCCTCACACTTTCTGACACACAAGAGCCCATTGCCACAGGCACCACATCAGTCCACCTGGTTGAGGGTCTTCCTCTCCTTCACTAACCTTTCGCCCTTCCTAGGATCATGTCCTTCTCCAAGGAATAGCCTCTCCTAGCAACATGCCCCAAGAATGTGAGGTGAAGGTCTCATCATTCTTGCCTCCAGAGAGCACTCCGGCTGCACCCTCTCCAAGACGTACCAGTTGGTTCATTTGGCCGTCCATGGGATGTTCAGTGTTAAATAGATGATGTGTGTTTAAACATTGAGTCTTCTGTTAGATTAATCCTAGGACACAGAAAGCAAAACTAAACAAATATTTGTGTCAGGAGAGCGGTGAAATAAAAATAAAAAACTGTATCTTATAAGACTAAAAGAAAGCCCAGTGAACATAAAGGTTGTTGGTTTGGTTTTCCTCCCTCCTTTTTGAAAGACTGGTTATTTTCAAATTTCGATTGTCTGTAGGTCACTTAGCTTTTTCCTAGTTGTCATATTTATAAGCTATAACACATTCAATATATTTTTCTTATTTTTGCCCATTTCAGGAAACCAGATTTGAGTCTGAATGTTCTCAGTCCAAAGTAAAGTCACCCAAGCATTCTTCCCAGAAGGTCATAGGAGCTCCCTGTGCCAAAAATTTTGTGCAAAGATTTCAGCAGGCTGAGACTTTCGTAAGACTCTGTGAAGAAATTCAGGAGGCAATCAGATGGTGTCGGAGTAAAAAACTCAAAGCTCAGGCCACCTTTCTGGGCCACAGACTTCTTAAAAGTAATCGGCTTAAACATGTGGAAGCACAAGGTTATAGGTAAGTATATTATAAAAATTAGAGCTCTGGTGGCCTAGTGGTAAGGAGCTGGGCTGCCATCTCAAAGTCAGGCAGTTTGAGTCCACCAGCTGCTCTGCAGGAGAAAGATGCACAGTCTCCTCCTTAGCATTTAAACTGCCTCTAAACACTCACTGGAGGTTCAGCTAGGAGTCAGTTACATGACCACAACATTGTAGCTTAAGACAAAAATAGACATATCCACATTACCTTTCCAACAGTCCTTGTTATTATGTGTCACTGAATCGGAACCCACCCATAACTGACTCTAGCAGGTTTTCAGAGGCACCAGAAGAGATTGCTTATCTTTCTCCCACAGAGCAGCTGGTAGAGTCAAATCATGTTTTTGCTTTGCACCTTTGGGTTAACAGCTAATTCCTTACCACTAAGCCACCAGAGCTCCCTGTCCAGCAACCCTCAGGAGGTAAAAATGTGAGTTACTCTGATTATTTGTTGTTTTTGTTATGTGGATGGATGAAGCTGTATCGTACAAACATGATGAAACTTAGATTTATTCAGCTATATTCTTCATCATTCCATCTTTTGATTAAAAAAAATGTTAGATAAGGGAGCTCTGTTGACCTAGTGGCAAGAAGCTGCACTGCAATCCCAGAGGTATATGGTTCGAATCCACCAGATGCTCTGCTGGAGAAGGAGGGGCAATCTCCTCCCATACCAGTCAGATCTGATTTGACGGTACATACACAAAAAAATAATAAAATAAATTTTAAAAAAAAGTTAGGTATGTCTGGTGCCTTAATCTTTGTGAGACAGTTGTGACACAGACATAATCCTAGGGCTTGTGCACTGGTGAAGAAGAGATTGTGTCCACCAACAGGTTTCATGGCACAGAGTGGGGGCCCCAGAGCAGAAGCAGAGGGTCCTGCCCCAGGCGAGGGCGCACATCAGTCTGCCAGGCCACGGGCAGCTGTGATGTGCACAGGAGCTAGACTCTCCAGGTACTGATTCTTTCATTTCCTGTGATTCTCACATTCACAGAACTGCTGAAAACTTTGGCTGTTTTGGAGAGCTAGCATTGCATGAAGCACATAAAGACTTTACAGGACTTTTGGACTTTACAGTTTAAAAACGATACCCTTGGGAATAAAATCACATGTAAATAGGTAGACCAATCCTTGTTCCCCCTTCACAGAGAACACCACTCTGACCAGATTTGTGTATATGTGTATATCCTTCAAGAAATACTCTGTGCAGATAGTACCATAATTTATGACTGAGCAAGCTTGGCTTTGTTGTACAGACGGTGGCTGTGAGTCACTTGACTCAGTGACAGTTACAGTAAAACAGCGACATTTATCTGCTCAGAGTTTTAGAATGGCTGTTGTGTATGAAACACTTTAACTACCTAATGACTGTTAACTTTAACATCATAGTAATATATAGTGAGGATTTTAATTTTCTATCAGTAAGTTTTGATTAAAAGCCAGTGCAGAGATTGTCAGATACTCCTAAGGGAGGAATTACATGAAGAGCTTTTAACATTGAGGACCCCTAAAGGCCTGTGGCTATCTGAAAGGGATCATACCTAGAGTAGAAACTCAGCCTGAAATGTAGAGAGGCATCCTGTTCCGATTCGGCATTAAGTCAGGGTTGGGTAAGTGATTAAAAAATTAATGAGCAGGGTAACAAATTGATATTTGTCCATACTATTAGAATGTACTCTTTAAATAGACTGTGTGTAAATGCTGCCATGTAGCTATTTCAGCTTTTTGTGGTCTATTTTACAGCTAGCTTGATGTCCCATGATAATTCTCAAGTAGGCAACATTGTTCCCATTTTATACATGAAGAATTGGAGAGTTAAGCTCAAAGTGTTGGAGCTGGAGATCTAGACCTCAGTTCAGGTCTTCTGATTGATTCCTCTGCCCAATTCTGTTAATATTTCAACTTAGAAGTACTTAAAAGTACCCAAAATTGCCCCTTATAGTAAGAGAAGAAAATTGATTAGAAACAGATTATGAACTATATTAATTTTCTTTAAAGTTCTATATGTGGCCTGGTTTGGGGAATAATTGTTTTCTTTATGTTAAGGTGCAATGCATATTGAAGGCTCTGCTCTCTGATCTTTATCAGTGAGTGCTTCAAGTCCCCTTTGTTTTCAGCAAGCAGAGTTGTGCCATATATATATTGTAGACTGTTGAGTTTTCTTCCAATCCTGATACCACCTTGTTCTTCATATAGTTCAGCTTTTCACATTATTTGCTCAGCATCCAGACTGACTAGTACGGTGAAAGGGTACAAGGCTGACACACACTTTTACGGAGATTGTAAACCACCAAGTATTCTCTTCTGTTTGCCTGACTGGTCTATGTACAAGTTCCACACAAGTGCAATTAAGTGTTTTGTAATTCACATGCTTCATTGTTACCCATAAATTTTATGATCCACACAGTCAAATGCCTTACACAATCATAGGATTTGAAAAGAAATTGTGTACTTTCCTATTTTAAATTTTTAAATTGTGATTTTAATTCGTTTACAGAAAAGTTGCATTTTTCATTCATTGTTGCACATTTCCCTCAGTTTGCTTAAAAAAAAAATCATTCATTGTTACATAATTTCTCCCCCACAAGTCAACTCTGCTGTGTACCTCTTAGTCTGACTATTGTCATAATATTTCCCTCTTCAGTTGACAGTTGCTAACACTAGAAAGAAGACAGAAGTGCTTGGAAATACTGTTTTATATTGACTTAAATTTTTTCTCTTTTTTTTCCCATTAAAGCTTGCCAAAGAAACTAGAGTGTATAAAAACATCTATTTGCAATTGCCTTCTACGTGGTTCAAGTAACAAAACTTCAAAGCGTCATCCAAGACAAAGAAGATCACAGAAGCAATGTTTTCTGAGACAGAGGAAACCACCAAGAAAGTTGCCATTGATGCTTTTAAAGGACATTCAGCACTTACCTCAAGGAATGCAGAAGAAAGCTACAGATAAAGGTGTTGAACAAAGCCTCTCACAGCCCATGGTCCACAGAGCTGATGTCCACTCTCACAATAAGCTGCTCTTAGGGAGCAGAACTCCAAACTCTGCCATTCAAACTAAGACACAGAACCATGAATACCTTCCAGGAAGTAAGGAAAATGAAACCTGGACACCGACCCAAATGAATAAACAGAATACATCAGGAACCATTCAGGAGACCGATGATATTGATGATATTTTTGCTTTAATGGGAGTGTAGATACTCATCACTCTTGAAGTGATTAACAAGTTGGTCCAGGGTTCTGCTGTTTTAAGTGGAGCTGCTGCCATCCAGATTTTCTTGGACAGAGAAAGGAGTGGCTTTGGTTCAGCATTGCACAAGAGCTTGCTTGCAGTTCAATAAACATTTATCGTTTCTGTGTCATTTAATCAACATACTATTTATTGAGCTTCAACTCAGAGCCAGGGATTGAATATCTGCCACAGCTTGGCCTTGGGAATCAGATGTATTTCTTTGACGGAGGCTGGCAGGTCCCTGAAAACCCAGGTAATTTTTATTTTTCAGGAAATTAACACTTGGAATAATTAGTTTTATAAAAGTTATCTCTGCCAGTGGAGCTCTGGTGACCTAGTTGGTAAGGAGTTGCACTGCCAACCCTGTTGACCAGTTGTAATCCACTATCAGCTATGAGATGTACAGCCTCTGAAAACCTACTGGAAGATTAGCTATGAGTTTGTACCAACTAAATGGCAAGGAGTGAGTGATTCTGTGTTGGAAAAAGGGCTAGGGGGAGTTGGATTAGCAAGAAAGCACCTGAGATAATCACTGCCTTCCCTATTCGGTTGAAAGTAAGTCTACCTCATAATACTAAGGCTTTTGACTTCTAATAAGTGTGTTAATCATTGTTGTTGTTTAATGCCGTCGAGTCGTAGACGACTCATAGCGACCCTATGAATGAACAGCCTGAGCACTGTTCATACAGAGTTTCCGGAGGCAAGCCATTTCGGAAGTCCATGCCGCTTCTGCTTCCTGGCTTGATTTAAGAATAAGAATGACAGAAGATAAATTTTTTGAGCTATAGTGTTGGAGAAGAGCACTGAAAATCCCATGGACTGCCAAAAAGAAAAAACCAGATAGGTCTTGAAGATGGTGCCATCAGAGTGTTCCTTTGAGGTAAGGATGACAAAGCTTTGTTTCATATTTTGGACATGTTGCTAGGAGAGCTATTCCTTCGACAGGGACACCATGTTTGGAAAGGTGGAGAGTCAGTAAAAGAGAGGAAGACCCTCAGCCAGATGAACTGACACAGTGACTGCATTGGACTCAAGTAT